GTTGTAGGAGGTATTTGCTTCCACTAGAAGGTATCTCACCCTCAGCTATATTGCACCACGCCCTGTCCCCAAGCGGGACCTCAAGTCTACATACCCTTGGGTGTCTACCCGCTCGCCTAGGAAATTGACAATCTGCTTATTGTATAGGACTATTAGGTTCTTTAACAAGTCTATCTTCTAGAATTATTTTTTGTAAAGGATGTTGACGAAGCTCCTTTGTTGATGAGTACCTTGCTCACGTTGTATCAAGCAATCTCAATTTTATTTACCATTGGGTAGTCCTGATCGGGAACTGGAGCGTGAAAATCATCATCCGAGAAGGTGATGGGTAGCATTGATCTTTGTTTCTTGTCTACAAGGTGGACGGTCTTCAAGCCCCTGAGGTGCCTTTTGCACAAATGAGGATGATCCACCACCTGCGAAGCCTTTGGAAATAGTTTTTATGTGGTCGCACAGCAGGCGATCACGGTTATGGCTCCTGCTTTGGCTTTGGCGTCGGCTATTGTAATGACATTCGTCTTGCCTCGGAAGACGGTTAGGGCTTCTTCTACCCGAGAGACTCCTTCCCCCCCGCCCAACCTTCACATACATCTAAAGGTGACCAGCTCAGATCAGCTATTCTATCTTGTCACGAAGTGTGAAGCATTAACTCTATTGCATGACCAAGGTTCTTATAGTACAGACAATGTTTCTTATTGTCGACGTTCCTCGGGGTCGGTTTCTTCATGAGAGGAGTAAAGAAGTTGACACTTAATGCCTCATCCAGGATTCTAGCCCTTGGTGCATTCAAAGGCATGTATTGGTTGAACTTGGGTACCTAGGAAAGGTTCTTTGGCTTTGACCCGCTCACCTTATCACCTCCGCTAATCGATTTTTTGCTATCCTTTTGCTCCCCTTCAGCAGTTGAGGCGAAAGCCTCTTCTTGCTGCCATTTTCGAAAAGTGTGCATGTTCTTTATGCACAAGAATTTATATGTCCTATCCTGCAGCTCATCCATGGTCTTCGACGGTCTACACATAGGCTATCTACAAACGGTCCTACCATTAGGGTCGTCGACAGGTTGTTAAGGATGAACTCCTGACTAACATCCTTCACTTGTCGAGTAGTTTTGTTGTACTGGTCCATGAAGGCCTTCAGTGACTCATCCTTCCCCTGCTTGGTGTTGATAAGCATGAGGTGTGTTAAACTTTGGACTTGGCTAGAGGCATATTGCCTACCGAACAAAGAACGGATGGTGGCAAAATGGTCAACTATGTTGGGAGACAGGGTGTTGAACCATGTCAACGCCTCTCCCTTTAAGGACAAATGGGACGCTCGACACCATACTAGATCACTGGATGAATAGAACACCATGGTGTTTACGAACGAGCGAAGGTGTTTGTCCGGATCAGTTGACCCGTCATACTTCTCGAACATAGGGGGTGTTGACTTCTCCGTGACAACCGTTGTGAAAGGTAGTAGTCCATCGGCATGTGTCATTTGAATGAAAAGGGTTGTTCTGGCCACAACGCTACTCATCTCCTGACCGTTCCTGCTTGGTCCTTTCGCCTAATTGTTCTCCTTTGACAGTGTAGGAATGAGGGACATCGAGTGTTGGCTGAATGTTCATGCCATCCAGGGGCATGCTCAACCCTCAGTGCGACTATCTCGGCTTTATGCTTTCTCTACATCTCTTGCATCTGTCTTTGCATTTTTCTGATGAGCTCCGTCGGGTCTTGTTAGTCTCCCATGTTTCTCGTGGGGGTGTTACTCCCTCCACCACCACCACTTCTCCCTCCACCTCCCCAACCTTCTCTAAAAAAATTTTAATTACAAAAATAACCTTTTTTAATTACAAAAATAACCTTTATTTTATTTTTAATCATATTTATTTACTTTGAATTCAAACCCTATTTTTCTACCCACTCACTTTTCACTGAGCCCCACCACCAACTCTCCTTCTCTTTCTTTTAGATCCCCACCCCCCCAACTCCACCACATCCGTCTTCTAAAAAAATAATACATCAAAACATATAAATTACATTATTAAAATATCTTTAAAATTAATATAAAAAATAAATTAATAAAAATAATTGGAAAATAAACGTATAATCTTTAAACGGATGTGACCATCCGTCAACGGATGTCAACATCCGTTTAAAGATTATACGATTACTTTTTAGGGTTTATTACGCACCTACTTCACGACGAATCTTCCCACACCACAGCACCCCACCACACCAATCTTGCAAGTTGATCAATTGCTTCCACCACCACTTACAATCTCACACACTAACTAATGAAAGTCCACCATATTCTCAGACCACAATTAGAATGAGAAGAAGAAGTGTGAAAAAGAAGAACATGAAACAAAAAGAGGAGGAAGAAGAGTTCCCACTGCGTGGAGGATTAGAGTGAAGGATTACTGTGTGGAGGATTAGAGTGAAGGATTAGAGTGGGTAGAGGTTAAAAAGGATTAGAGTGGTTAGAGGTTAAAAGATATTAACCCTAAAATTTTATTAAGGATAAAATAAGAATGGAAAAATAAAGAGAGGGATAAAACAGGAATAAGGTGGTGGAGGGAGCAAAGTGTGGTGGTGGAGGGAGCAACACCCTTCTCGTGGTCACCGTTGGGTATCTTCTTTCAAGCCCACAATGGACACCAAAATAATTCGATTTATGAGGTCAAGATTGATTGTTCTTCCACTAAGAGTCTCCAAATTCCAAGCTTATGTAAAGGTTTTGTCTTCAGTTCTCTCTCTACCGTTCGATCAAGTTTGGTGTTACCTACAGAAAACACTATGATGCTAAAGTTAGTGTTTGTTCGAATGCTATAACAATTAATGTGTATTAAAAAATAACCAACTACTAAATATCAAACCTATATTTATAGATTTTAAAAGGTTTAAACCCTTCCTTGGTCCTCATTTTTGTATGAAAATCTCAGTTTGGTCATCATTTTTTCATCTGTCTCAATTGGGTCATATTTTTTGTAAAAATGAACACATTTTATCCTAACCGTTAAATTGTAACAAACGGCGTTAAACTAAAGACACATGGTGCAGAGAGAATGTGTTGACGTTTGTTCCTCATTTACGTGGAGTGTTTTAATTAAATAAACAATGGTGATTTGAAAGGTCACGTGGTGATGTTTTGACTAGAACCAGATCTTCTCCTCCCTCCCCCTCTGCTTCCTACCCAATTATTGCTCAATCGGAGCCACCCACCATCTACAACACAATCACAGACCAAAAAAATAACATTCTTCTAGATTCAGTTGCAGATACACATCCCGAAACCCCTGCAGCAGTTAATAAAGAAAGCATACACATAAGAAAAATCACCCAAACAGAAAAAAAAAACTCCACCATTTACAATAGAACAACTGAAACTCTCAACCATTTCGAAATTCCCCACAATCCATCTGCAAAACACGTAGCATAATGCATCCGCACACCCAACCCAACCGAAACACGTAAATCCCCCAATTCAAAAACAATGCTCACAGTTTAGCACACCAAAAACGAGAATTGGAAACTCACAACCAATCAAAATCCGCAAGGCAGTGAACTCGTGGTTCGAAACCAATTCAAATTGACAGTCAGCGAGAGAAAGAACCCTAATTGAAAGTGTGCAGAACTCCATTAGAGAAGGCAGAGGGGGGGTTTTCATCCTAATTATTCAATTAGGATTTCAAATTTAATTAATAAAGTTAATTCCTAAAAGAAACCTTATCCCAGATCAATTAAAAAGATAGTGTATCCATGGCTACCTTAACAATAATCCTACGTTGAAATCCCCATTTTGGGGCTGTCTCCCTTAATTGGGAGATGGGGCTTTCTCGGATGCTCACCTGATTCATTTTGGAGGAGGAGCTTACTTCTGATAAGGCGTAGATACCAGTCATTGCTTTCACCGATGTAAACAGGTTTTTCACTCACAAGATGCAGTCTCTGGTCTTCCAGAAAGGGGAAAAATCTCTGACGCTCAAGAAAGGAGATACAAAATCTAAGCCCTAGTAAATTATTTCTCACGCCGCCACGAGCCACCGTAAATGCCATTTGGTTGCGCCATCGCGAGCACTTTCCTTGTCCCAAATAAAAGATCAAAACGAAGAAGAAGAGAACGACCAAAGTTTCCATGTCATAATCTCTCAAATTAAATAAAAATTCTACGTAATAAAATATTTTGACATCAGCGTATTAATTATGTAACACGTCAGCACCAACTAACACCGTTTGTTACAATTTAACGGTTAGGGTAAAATGTGTTCATTTTTACAAAAAATATGACCCAATTGAGACAGATAAAAAAATTATGACCAAACTGAGATTTTCATACAAAAATGAGGACCAAGGAAGGGTTTAAACCATTTTAAAATGAACTTCTAATTAGTGTCAATCTAATTAGAGTCTAATCCGATAATGACCAGGATTAAGATTAACATGATTATCCATATTATTAATCTTGTTTGTGGTTTAATCAATCAACTGAATGTTTCACAATAAACCCAAGGGTATGGTGATTACTCAATTTGTGGCTAACCAGACAATCATACAATACTATAATCATTTTCCAATAAGGGGTGGGAACAAGAAAGTACTAAAACACTAGAGTTGTGAAGGTACATGTATGATGATGGTAGAAAACGACTAAGCTAGTCAATGTTTGCATGAAAAATTATAGGAAAAATTCGTTTGTTCAAGAATTCTTATCTCTTCAAAAGCTACTCGGGTTAGAAAAGTTAGTTGACAAAATGCTTAGAGAAGCTCCAAGAAAGTTAGGTGCATATAAGCATTTCAATCAGTTAACTGAACATACATTTTTCTCTTGTCTTTTCAATTCAAGGCATCTAAAGTTCATGAGTAAATGTGAAATGTCAACAATTTATATCATTTTATGAAGAAATCATTTAATGTTAACTCGCTTACATTACACTATTTTCTCTGCAAGTTTCATCGAAGAAAATTAAAAGACGTCTCCATTACGAAGCAACAGAAAAAGAACACATGCAAACCTTCGTAAATTGGTTTCATTGTTAGATCTTCGAAGCATGACAAATCCAAGATGCACAAGATCAGCCAATGAATCCCAAAGTCATTTTCCAATAAAAATAACACACCACTCAACTAGAAAATATGAAAAATATTAATAACAGATACAACAGAATCTCCAATATCATTTATTTTTCTTCAGATTTGAAGATAAAACAGAAGTTTTAGGCAGTCCCCGCACGAACTACATGGAACATCAAGTATTGTTCCTCCTACGGGCAATCTCCCGTGCCATTTGCCTAAGTTCATCAGGTGATGGTGGCCTTTCTGCCTCTGGTGGATATTCAATGTATGACCTCTGTAACATGATAACAATAAAATATGATTTGGAATACAGAGACTAGATTGTAGTTAAAAACAATTTCAAAATTGCATTCATGCTAGCCATTAGGATAAGACAATTGATCAGGGAGACATTTATTCAATCTCAAAGTGATTTAAATTGCTTATTGTACATTTAACCTTATTGAATAGTCGTATCTGAAATTACATAATTTGATTTCAGGATGCTTGAATGTACAAAATTGATAGATATACCTTTACAGGCTAGCTTATCCACCATTATGACAAATGAACTCTATTCCTAATATTCCATTTTTGTGATTATAGCAATATTTAATATCAATAAAAAGAAATTGGTGAGCATAGGTTGAAGTATATAAACCCCAGAATGATTATGAGATATGAGAAGTTGATTAAGGAGAATACATTTCCCATGAACTTGCGGAGGTTGCTGGAATTGTTGGCAAAAGTGTACATGAGAATGATTGGTACAGTCACATACACACCAAACTTGGCAATTTCTAGAATCCCTTTGGAAGTTCCCAGAGATGACATGGTAGCTTTCCTATCACCAACAAATACCAATACCACCAGCAACAGAATCAAGCACTGTGTTTCAAAGAGGAAAATTTATATGAATCAATTACAATAACCAAACACAAAGATGAAATCTAACTTTAATGTTTACATCACACACTTTTGAACCTTTTCATTTGCCATTTCTCTCTCGTTTCCAACTAGTCTCAACATCGTAAAATATAAATTATTATTCTCATGTTTATTACAGCGTATAAGAAAAGACCTTGCATCAATGCCTTTTATAATCGATGTCATCACTTAATTGGTTAGCGTGTAGATATTGACCCTCCATGCTTTTAGACAAATTAAAATTGACCCTACCAATGTCTAACTTATAAAACTAGATGGTCATCACATCAAAGGAAGTGAGGCATGTACTGTTTTAGTGTAAGTGTGTAGCCAGCTGAAAGTGCATTAAGTTAAAATACAGTGATAATTATAATCTCAAGCACAGAATCAATTTTACAGTGTTAATCCTAGATAGATATGCCAAAAGGAAAATGAATAACTTTAATCGAAGCAATTGTGTGAACTACCAAGTAATATCAATTGACCCACTTTAATAACTTGTATCAATTGTAAACGCAAATAACAAATGAATAATCGAGTTTAAACAGGATTAAGAAAGTAGAGAAAAAATTGGTGCAAGGATTTCATGAAGTAAACAAAGGGCGGAAAAAACAGTTACACAGGCTTGTCATGAACCGAAATCGACAAGACAGGAGAAAAAAAGGTAAACCTGGTCTGGATGGAACAAATGGCGAATTTGACACCAATGAAGAAAGGCTTCAGGTAGCGCAACTCATTGAAGTGGACGGGATAGAAGATTATGCTTACCACTTGGAGATCAAATTGTGAACAAGCACTCTAGATTGATGATAGATATCTGCAAATTGATGTTAGGTTTTGTGAATGTGAAAGTAGGACTCATAGGAGTGATATTTGATTTCAAAGTTTGGGGATTATAGGGTTCCTTAGCCTTGAGGGGCACAAAATGGATCACTTGCGAAAAAAGCATCTCGATTGAGTTATGAGGAGGACCCCCAATTTTTTCTTCTTTTCAACCGCCACTAAATTATTATGTCTCTGGGAATTCATTAAAGTATGAAACAGAGACGAGATGAGCCAATATTATGATAATGGCGACCCTTTATGGCTTCCAAAAAGCCTGTTCTGTTGACTCTGCACCTTTTAATATTCTGCTATCACCACTGAAAAAAATGTATCATTTTCTGTGCTTCAGAAGAGCATAAATTGACTTTTTTTTCTCTAGTGAATACTCAGCAAACTAAGTTTTAGCCAATAATTTTCTGTTGCTTGCCTACCTAGAAAACTAAGTTTTAGCCAGTGGTTCAAAACCCCAAAGTTTGTAAATTGCATTATAATCTCAATCCTTCATGCATCACTATAAAATGACCCCAATTCAAGGACATAGCCTGTTAGCCTTAGTTGGTCATCCAGTTGAAGTAGCAACAAGTGAACCTGACTATAAGAAGGGTGGTATGTATCAGAAGCTGCAAATACATGAACTCTCTTATTGATTTCAACCCAGCTAGCTCCAGGAGATCTCTTCTCTACACCCAGATCTTTCATGGCTGTCCGAATCTTTGCTACCTCACTCCACCTATTTACTTCAGCATACATGCTCAAAAGGAGACTGTAATGTCCACTGTTGCCTGGCTCTAAAACCATCAGACTCTGAACGGCAATATGAGCTATATCCAAGTTTTTGTGTAGCTTACAACCATTCAACAAGGCACCCCAAACAAAAGAATTAGGTTCAATTGTCATGTTTCTGACCATCTCTAAAGCATCCTTTAGCAAACCAGCCTTGCTCAATAGGTCAACCATGCATCCATAGTGCTCAACTTGAGGAGTGATACAGTAGTCCTGGATCATGCTCATAAACCTGCAACGACCCTCTTCTACAAATCCTACATGTGTGCAAGCACTTAGGATACTAATGAATGTAACTGCATTTGGTTGGATTCTCTCCCTCTCCATTCCATCAAACATTCTTAGTGCTTCTTTCGCATAGCCGTGTGTTGCAAGTCCATCAATGATAGAATTCCAACAAAACAGGTTTTTGTTCTTCAATTTATAGAACACCAAAAGGGACCTATCTATGCTCCCACATTTTGCATACATATCAATCAGCGAGGACCCAATGTACACATCTAGATCAAATTCATGCAGCATCAAATAAAGGTACACCTCCTTTCCTATGTCAAGGGCTCCTAGATGAGCACAGGCTGAAATGACAGTGCTCATGGTCACTTCATCAGGAATAATTCCTTTGTCGATCATATCATGAAAAAGTCTTACCACATCCATATATCTTTTGCCTCGAGAATAGCAATTCATCATGGTTGTCCACGAAATAACATTCCTTGCAAGCATTTGGTTGAACAAAAATTCAGCAGACTTAGTATTGCCTAATTTTGCATGCCCATCAATCATGGCATTCCACGAAGCTATGTTCTTTTCAGGCATCTCATCAAACAAATTACCTGCAGAAGCCATGTCCCCATCCTGAACATGGGCCAAAATCATTGTAGTCCAAGCAAAAACATCTCTTTCAAGCATATCATCGAACACCCTTCTTGAGCTACTCACATCACCCAAAGTTGAGTAAAACTCAACCAAAGTAGTCTGCACAAACATATGAGAATCAAACCCATATTTCCAAATATGGCCGTGAACAGCTTTTCCAAAAACTGAATCCATCAACAAAGTGCAAGCCTTGACCAAAGAAGAAAAGGAATAACTATTAGGCATGACATTGTTCCTCAACATGCGTATATAAAACCCCAAAGCATGATCTGGGTAACAGCAGCGACCACAACCTCTAATCAATGCATTATATACGAAAGCATTAGGATTTTCCATGTGGGCAAAAGCTGAACTTGCAAAATCAACATAAGAAAGAGCGGAACATGAACTTATGAATTGATTCATCAAAAAACAATCTTGGATTGTATTAGTCTTGATCATGGAGGCATAGACAGATTCCAGTGCTTTTTGGCTTAAACATTTCTTAATGTATCCCAGAATAGTCTTATTTAGAGCAAGTGTGTACATGGCAGTGTTGAAGAGTGTGCCTTTGACTGTTCTACAGGAACGCCAAAGCCGCGACTGGGGATCTTTGAGACTAAAATAAGCATATGTTCAAGCATGCTAAAGAAAAATGAACACTATAAATGGTTTTTGGGGAAGTCGAAAACAAGTCCAACAACATAAGAACAAATAGTGACAATAGCTACAAAACAAAACAACTGCTACTAATTAATTCATTGAGGCTGAGATACTACCAATTGCAACTGAACCACAGATACTAAATTGGACTTGAGAAGTTGAGATGAGTGTTGGAAAATTATATAAAGTTCAACATCAAATTCTAGTTAAACTTGAGAATAGTGTTGTAGAATTAGAAAGTCCCAGATCAGATTTGAATTAAAGTTTGAATCAAGTATGAACAAAAGGTCAAAACAGAAATTTTTAACAACTAAGTGACTTCTCTCAATCTCAATTACAAAATAAATAACCTAATGACATAAAAAGTGAATGTAAAAGTTGGTACCTATTCATATTATAAAAAGAGAAAAATATCATATATTCAATTAAATTAATGTTACGGGTAACTTGCTTTCCTATTTCTTTTCAAATAATATACCTTTCTATAGTTCTATATTTAACTTCATTTAGTTTTTAATTTTTTTTAAAATTGTTAATTTTAATCCTCATAAATTTTAAATAAGATGCTGCCCCTATCTGTAGGTCTCTTTCACTCTTTATCTTCACCCAAAACCCTTCTCCAAAATATTTCAATGTATTCTACAATTCTTCACTGTTTTATTTCTAAATAATCCATCACATCAGCATCCATAACCCTCTTTTTATACCCTCTAAACTCACGTAATCACACATACATACATATATATATATATATATATATATATATATATATATATATATATATATATATATATATATACACACACACACACAGGAAGAACCTAAACCAATAAACGCACAATAAAGGTGCAATTACAAATACCACTGGAAAACCAAAACGTATTACTGTAAATCTCAGAACCCAAACTAATACTGATTCCAAACACAATTTTGTTTTATTTCAAAATAAACAAATGTCTTACAATTTTATAATGTACGATTTTAAAAATCTCACCTTTAGGACAGTCACAACACCGTCTTTGACCTTCACAGGAGAAGCATTAGCGCCACCACGTGCTCGACCTCCTCAACAGCGGGTTTAAGCTTCTCAAATTTCTAGTTGAAGATTCGTGCAACTCGGATTTGGGAGTTTTCCTAAGGTTTGAGATAGTAATCACAAATTCTACTCAGTTTACTCGAGAAATGGGAACGAAAGACGGAGAAGGAGGGGAACAAATTTTAGGGCTTCAGTATGAGAAAGGGGTAAAGTGTATTAGGGCAAAAATGATTTTAGGGTTTCGTTTTTTTATGAGAAAGAGAGAGAAAGGGCGGATTCGAGGATAACAGATTGCTTGAATTATTGCTATTGTTTTATTTTTATAATAATAAAAAATAATAAAATTATTATAATAAAAGTAGATATAAATAAATCTAATAATCATTGTAGATATTTATATATATTTAATTTTTTATAAATATTTATTTTAGTTTAAAAAATATTTAAATTTTAAAAATGTTAAAATAAAAAAAATGAACAAATTTAAAAAATTCAAATAATTATTTTAATTTAAAGAAAATATTGTTTATTAAAGAATAAAACTACAAAACATGATATAATAATATAGATTTATAATCTTAATATAACTAAATCTTTTATGATTAAGTTATAAATTTATATTATTATAATATTAATATTATTAATTTTTTTATTATTAAGATATAAATTTATTTTATTGCATGTGGTACCAATCAAATCATGATGCTTAGGTTACTATGGTCTTTGTTTCGGATGTGAAGGGTTGTGT